GGATGCTGGCGTCGCAGTCCACTCCGCCCCTTTCCCGCGCGGGCTCGGAGAGGATCCACCGCGCGGAGCCGTCCAGGGAGCTGCCGCCGCCGCGGCACAGCCGGGCGGCCAGCAGCCCCTTCCAGAGCCGCGCGGAGGAGCACTTCGCTTTCCAGAGCCGCGCGGAGGAGCACTCCAAGGGCGAGAACCTCTATTACGAGATCGCCCCCGAGCCTCACCTGCTGCCCTCCCCGGCGCGGTACGGCTACCCGAGCGTGGGACTGCGTTTCGATGGGCCACCCTACCGTCCCACCCGACTGGACCTTGATCCCGCGGACAGGGCCCTGAGGGTCCACGGCATGGCGGTCCGGCCTCACCACTGGACCGCAGACCCCCGAACGTGGGCGCTGCAGGCCGTGGGTCACTCTCTTGTGCCCTTCTCTCAAATCCCACTGGACACCCCGCCTCAGCCCTCTCAGTCTTCCATCGTCCGGATGGTTCCCGTCTCCCGGACTGAAGTCCACCCAAGCCAGGGGGTAGCTGCCTACCAGAGGAACCCCTACAGGTCCCAGCGATCCCCCTCGGGGGACCTCACTGCTTCTCAGCTGCACCCTTATTTTGAAAATGGCAAGGTCTGCTACCGCTACTTTGAGGCGAACCCAGACGGATTTCCACAGGATTCCCAGCACCAGCCCCCTACCCACAAACCCTCTAGGCAGGAGCAGAAGGAGCCCATATACGTGAACTTCCCCTTCAACCCTGGCAAGACCTGGACTACCACCGACCTGGATGGAGAGACTCGGCAAGCCCCGGAATCTCCCCCCATGGAAGAGCCCAGAGAATCCGTCACGAAGGAGGAGCCTGCTCCTGGCATCAAGGAAAGCCCGCAGCCCAAAAGGGCCGTCTCCCAGTATGACAATATGACCGCCTCCTTGGATGAAGACTCAGGTGGCTCAGAAGCAGCGGTGCACTTCCGGAGTCACTCGGATCCCCAGGAAAAGACTTCCGAAGGCCCAGGAGAAAATCAGCCGCCCTCAGGGAAAGAACCGTCGGCCGGACTGTGCGAGGAATCGCCAAGAAGAGACGTGGCTAATGAGAGCTCGTGCGTTGGAACTTCCTCGGATCGTCCCTTACCCCACGATCGGCAGACGTACAGCCCCGGACCTTCCCGGCCCCCTTTCGAGGGGCAAGCGGCACCCAGAGGTGCCCCTTTCCTCCGGCAGGATGCCCTACGGAGGTCTACTTCGGGCGGGCACTACCGCCAAGCATTCGATGTCATGCCCTCCGGTGACCAGGTGCTGAAATTCTACCGGGCGGCGCAAGACTTCATGAGCCACTCGCCCCACCCCCCCGCCTGCGACTCCCTCCCGCCTCCTCACCACTCTTACGAGGACCCTTACCCAGGCCGCCAGGTGGAAGCCCATCCCCATTACCCCAGTCAAGATCCCCCAATTCCGGCTCCTTTCTCCAGCCTGGCCCACATGTCCATGTCCACGCTGGGCACAGCCAGAGGCCATAGTCCCTCTGGGTTCCGCACCATGGCCAGCCAGTACAACGCGTACCAGTTCCAGTCGGTGCCCATGCTCACCCAGTATGGCAACGTGCCCCGGAGGGATACAGTTCTTGACCCTTCCCTTCGCCCGGGTCTTCGGCACCAGAGTGGCATGGCCAGACAGGGTAGCCTACCCGGGCCGAACTGGACCGTTCACACGGAGGGACAGACGCGCAGCTACTGCTGAAAGCCGTCCCACTCCTCCTTTTTTAGGGATTCGCGTTGACCTTCCTTGACCCTGGTTCTAGGGGGGGTATTTTAAAATTCAGACTTTTTTCCCCCATTCTCCCCCCCTCTAAATCAATTTTTTTATTTTTGGTCAACGTTGCCTGAACGATGCCGAATACGCGAAGGGGCAACGAAAGGTTCTTCACCAAGGGGTGGCCTCCGTTGGAAACATTCCAGTCTTTTGCAGGTCCTGCTGTCCAAAACGTCTTGTCCCTTTAAGAAGTGTTTCTGGCGTTGAGCACAATGTTTTGTACGCGTGTTCCGTTCGTTTCCGTTTTGTACCTTTGTACAGATATTGCTCGACCAAGCGAAATGGATTCTCGGTACAGTGAAGAGCAAAGTTCCTCGGATTCCTTTCTGAAGACTTTCAAAGCTGCTGACTTGTAAAGGACTGACTTTTATTTTTTCCAGAGAAGAATGCATAAACAACGAGTGATGGTTCTTCTCCTAACATTTTATTTATTTTATTTTTTTTTTTAAGAATAGAGTTTCTTGGAACCTGGCTATTGCAATGTATCTAACGACTTTCTTATCTAAACAGTTACAAAGTGAGAAGCACAGTTCGTGACGGTGAAAACTGCCATTCGATGAAAGGGAGTCTATTTCTGTGTCACTTGTCATTTTAAATTTGTGGTGCACTCTTCTTTCAGCCTTGGGAATATCAATATAGGGAGTGTATCTGTTGTTGTTTACAGATTTCAAGTGTGTGTGTGTGTGTTTTTGTGTGTGCGTGTGGAGGAGAGTTTTGTATTTGGATACTTTAGGCTGTATCTCAAGTCGATCATGGGCCACACTGCTCTAGTGATCTGATATCTGTAATAAAGTTTAGCAATAATTCTCATCCCCAACATGTGACTCTTCTCCACAGAATTATCCTCCAGCATAATGATGGCGTTCAGACACTATAGTGAGCTGATCTGAAACTTGTGGTCCTACTCTTGCAAAACTATATGCAGGGAATTAGAGATAGGGTTCGACTTGAGATACAACCTTTGGGACTCTCATTTTAAAGGCTTACCATATCTTCATAAGGCAGCACTGGAATTATGGGAAATGTAGTTTATATGAACCTCAGACGAGCCCACAAGTTGCTTACTTCAAGAAAAACCTTTGACAGCCCAGTGTCTGTTAAAGCACACACTACACCAATCTGAAATGAATCAAGTTTGTCTTTAGCATTATTTCAACAGCCAAATATTGTATAATTGGCAGAAGCCATCTTCCTGCCTGCCCTCACCCCTACCCCCATAACGTAACATCAGCACCTTCAGTTTTCATAGTATGTTGCATAGTAAACTCACCATTTCCTTACACAAATCAAAGTTTTCAACCAAAGGTCTCCAAACATTTTTTGAGCCTTCAGGGGGAGATATTCAGGACTATTGAAACATGACTGGCTAATTTTTAGTGATTATGACCATTGTAAATCATTCCGATCAATTCTGGGACCTTCAGTGTTCGCCTTTGATGCTGTTGGAAATACTGAAAGTATGGAAATACAGAATTCTGTACTGCTGTAGTTCTTCCCCATTTGTATGAAGCACACTCCAATACATTTTTAAAACTGATGATTAATATTTTAATGGCACTGAAGACCCCCTGAATGGGGCAATTTTATCTTGGGTCCAGATGGTGTGTCTTTTAGAAATGTGAAATTGCTTGAACTGCCATTCAACGCTGGCTTCAGAGAAACCCTGAGCTGTGCAGGGGACATTTCAGTGGGTGCTGTAAGAGAGCTGGGAAATTCTCTGAGAATTTCCTTGCCAGCATAATTCATGAAGGGCTGGAGGAGAACAGAGGTTTAGAAGGATAAGGTAGCGTTGTGCTCTTTTGGAATCAAGTTGTGCAGAATGGAAGTGTTTTGGGGAAATTGTGCAGCCTGACCAGTTTTATATTTTTTCCACTGGTTCTATGATGTTTGAAGAGGGGTGGAATTCCTGTCAGTGACAGGGTGGTGAAACGGTGCTGTATGGTATTGAAGGAGCAGAGGAATCTCACCTCAGTGACTGAATGTAGTGGAGAAGGACAGGGTGGAGGGATGATGGGACATCTCACTGAACTGTTCTCTGTATCTTTCTTGCAATGACAGTTTTCTGGTAAACGAGTCACTGGTTTAACAAAAAGCACTCCTAAAAAGAAGGCCCCGAGCTTGACAGGCCCTCACTGTCTGCCACCCGGATCTGAGTTACCGAAACTAAGCTCTCTCTGTTCTGTCTTTGGGAATAGATGCCCCCTCATCAGCTGGAGTTCTGTTGTTTGTCATTCTGCAGAAAAAGCTGTTGATGGTACAGGGCAGGAATGAGTCATTCCCATGCTTGGAGGACTGAGTTCTGCAGGTATTTTCCACAGTCCAAAAACACACTTCGCTACCATGTAAAACTGGGTTCTTAGTTTGAAGACAGAGCACAGAGATGTTCAGTAACTTTTCACCCATAGGGAGGCTGGGCAGAAATGTGGACCTTGCTGTTATGACCAGATCTTTTTTTTTTTATTCTAAGTGCTAGGCCATTCCATCCTACAACTCTGATTCCTAAATTTGGGAAAGTGTCCCAAACCTGTGACACCTGCTCAGATCTTGGAATGCAGTTGTCTTACTGCTGTGTTCATGAACTTCCTTGTCCCCAGAAGTCACATAACTGCCACTGAAGGACTTGCATTGAATTCATCGATACCCAGTGATGTGCAGCACAAGTATGCATTTGATGCAGATGAGAGGAACTTCCTCCCTGTTGAAAAATGAAGGAACGATCACTTTTGTGTCAAGTGTTGAACTCGGGCAGGGTGGGGTCAGCCCAGCTGCTCTTTCGGGTTTCCTATTGGCGCAAACTTTAATTTTTTGCAATGTTGTCCCCACCTTCTGAAAGTGTGTTTTCTGATATTTTTGTAACCAAGCAACAAGCGAGAAAAAAAAAACAACAGATCTGCATGAAGCCATTTTGTGAAGTATGTGACAACTGCAAAAAAAAAAATCTGTTTGGAAGATCGAATTTAGAATATTAACACCAATAAATCAGATTTGTTCAACTGTGAGAGGGAGGGTTGCATTCGTGTGTCTGTGTGCGCCTGCTGAAATGACCTTTGAAGAATTGTGCGACTAGGTCAAGGCTGTAGCCAGTCCAAGGCGGAGTTATTAAAACTGTTTTAGGTTTTTAACGTGCTCCTTTCCTGGAAAAAGAGCAGAACAAGCACAACACAGAAACGAGGAATGTAAGCGCGCTTGGTTAATATAGGGCGCGTTAGGCGAGAGAAAACCGAAGTAAAAACACGAAAAGGCTGTTCAAAGACTACTGGAAGAAAAGAACGACTCGGTTCCCAAAGGTAACGGAGAGCGAGGGCGGAGCCGCTCACAGATAAAGGAATGTGGGTGAGCAAGTCGCTCCTACAAGCCGGGATCGCGGCCAGGTTTAGGGAACGGGGCGTTTAAGGAAAGCCCATCTCCACCTTGCAGAGCAAGATCGGTCGACTCACCCAGTGGGCGTAACGAAGACTATTATTCGATTGTTGTATATAATGCACAATAATGTCAAGAATGTATCAATTATATATAATCTTGTGAAGTACAGATCAGGTACCTGTTACAACAAACGCAGTCCAGGACTTTTTGTTCCCCCCACGCGTTCTTGAACGCTAAAATTCTTTACAGATCCAGCCCTTGTGACAGTATGATCTAGTACAGTACCGCACGGTACCGACCACGCCTTTACATTGCTCATTAGTAAATTGAATTAGGGCCGGCCCGACTTGTGGTGTGGCCCGGATCGTGTAGACTCAGAATATTGAACAACGCGAACTCGCGGAATTTCCACTCCTTACCTCGTACTATTACATCTACCCCAACTCCATCTTGACAAAAAAAAAATCCCTCTCTTTCATATTAATTTCCCATTTTTGTAACCGTGTATCAGACGCGTTAGGGTAATGTCTATATATTCTGCCACTGTCCTGCTGAATGTAGTTAGGGGAAACTGATCACCACTTTCTAAATTGCGGTTCTGCAACACGTTAAGAGAAATTGGAACGTGAAAAAGGTCAAACCTGTTTCTTACACGTGCGGTAAAAACAATCTTATTCTTAAAACCCCTCGGCCTTACTCGTTTCGTTGACTAGACTGGATGTCCGCGTATTCGTGCGTTTTTTTATGTGCCTTTTTTGGAGCAAGCCGCATCCTGAGACACGTTATAGAAAAGAGGGCCCTGTTCGTGAAGGAAGATCTGAAGGGTAAGAGGCTTGAAATATCGAAGAACACCCGACGGCGGGCGGGAGAGCAGTTCAGGAGAGATCGGGTCAGCCTGCAAGGGGAAAAATCGACTTGAGTTTAATAACGGGAGGTGGAGCACCAATTAAAGGCGGACCTTTGACGTCGTTACCAATGCTGAGCGAGACTATCCAGTCACTAGTCCTACCTCACACCATTGCTGTGTGCCAGCTAACTAATCCCTTTCAGGGGCAGGGCTGGGCACTCCTCTCGACACCAGGAGGCGCGGACACCGTGAATGTCACTTAATTGTAAGGGATTAGTTCTCTCATTCACAGGTTCGCTTCCAGTGCTTTCACTGGGGTGTAGTTTGCCAAAGGCGGGGTTTTCCAGTTGTTGACGTCGGCTCTTTCTAATAGCAAAAGGAACAAGTAACAGGTTTATTCCATGCTGAAAAGAGAAGAAAGAAAACAACGTTTCGGCCGTGGAGCCTTCTTCAGCTGTGAACCTCTTTCCGATAGCTCCTTTCGAGGAGCAGTGGAGTTCGTAACTGACACTGTCGCACTGCGCCTGTGGCGGCTGGGTGACATTTTAAATCGGCGTGTATTAGGTGGGATCAAGCGCCAGTGATAAGGCGTTACCCTGCCGTTGTAGCCTTTTTTTAACAAAAAAAAAAAATCAGACCTTAACGGTCCAAACTTGTTGTGACAGGCCGGATGTATGGAGCGGGGTGTGTGTTTGAATACTGACCGAACCGGTTTAACTGGAGCTGAGCAACTAGACGGCAGCCAGGCCAGGACAACTCTTCTTTCAATACTCTCTCTTCCACGCCTTCTACACCAGTGGTAAAGAAAATGAGAAACCTACGGATAAGATTTCGTTGGTAGATCTGGGATAATGTGATTTTACGAAGGGACAGATTACCCGAAATAATCAAAATCATTTGGCCTTTAAGGATACGCGATGTATAAATAAGGGTTTCATATTCCATCAATAAGCAGGTTACAGGTTTCAACACTGAATTCGGTTTCTGAAGTCTGGCCGAGCCCGTTTTTCAGGCGTGGTTTAACGCTACCAGAGGCACACTGTGCAGGAAAATTAAAGACGATTACCAACGTCGAACGTGAAATTTACGTCGTGCTCGAAAACAATTATTTAAAAGTTAATATCTCGGGACCTCAGTTGCGTAACAGACTAAATAGGACAAAAAGATGAAAGGCCATTGTTTTCCTGTTAAAAGACTTGTTTACACAGGCGGGTCCCATAGAGGGGACAACTCCTATCATCCTGCAGTATTGAAAAGCTTTGCTTTATAGTTACTGAACGCCGGGAAGACAAACAGATCCTACAGAGCGCAGTCATGTAATTGTGCCTTTATTTTCAAATAAAACATAAAATACACTGTTTATAAAAATATAACCAACAAGACATACATTTTGATTTAACTACAGCACGGGATTTCACAAAGTTTAAGCTCTCCATTCCCATACTGCTTAGCTAACGAGAAACAGACTAACTATATATAGCCTATAGGAAAGTGTATTGACAATTGCACATCAAAGGGTGCACATCAAATTCCACTGGATTTCATTATATAAGCGATTTAAGAGATCTGAATTGCACAGAATGTTTTGTTTGAAAGTGGGGGACTGTCTTGCCAAAGTATTACATTTTAAAATTACTTTTGCACTGCTGAATTCTACAGCAATATCAAAAGTGTTGAAACAGTGCACCCACTGTTCCTATAAGAAGTCCTTTGCAAAGCGAAAGAGAGGAGAAATGAGTGAATTCATTCATTACTTAAGAAACACAAGACACCAAACAACAGGATCAAGTTTAGTCAAACTCAGCTTACAAACTGTATCTGCTTCCCTGTTACAAATCTCACAGCCCCTCCCCAGTGTCACTGCTGTGCTTCTGTACATCTGACCAGTTGGCTCCAGAATCTAGTAGGATTTCCAGGAATTTAATTTGAAGCCTTTACTGACAGTCTTGTTAAAAAAAAAAACACTTCAGGACAAGATCTGGGTGACCGCACGTGCAAACATTTTGGTTGGGCCAACATCCACCGCAACTCAAGAATTAAAAGTGCGACGGTATCAAACAGCATCTGTGGACCAGTCTCCTCTCCAAGACTTTCCATCCAACTCATTAAAAAAAAAAAAAACAAACTGACCCACCTCCCCTCGAACCCGGATGCAGAAGAAGAGTTCAAGCAGACATGCAGGCTGACAAGACTATCGATAGAGAAGCACCCAGATCTAGACCCCACCAAGCACCCTGGGGATACAAGGCGTCACCCCCAGTGCCTGCTCCCACTAGGACCACCAACAGTTATTGACAGCTCCCAGCTCTTCTATATACAGCAATTGGACAGTTTTAAGGCTGAACTGAGAATAAGGCCAATGGTCACCATCTTTTGTTCTGGTACTTGGGAGTTGAAGAAACAACCCCTCTCAAGTATATAAATATTAATTCCAGCTTCCACAATATAGTAAAGTGCTACTCAGGGGTCCTAAAGTCAAGGGACAGGTATATGGGTTTCCTTAAGGCACAAGGCACAGACATATACTGTATACCATCTGGAAACCGCCCCAACCCACAGTGCTCTGTGCATCTTGTTCATGAGTGCAGAGGAAGAAGCTGCATCTATCTTAAAAAATAATAATAATAATAATAATAATAATAATTCAGTCCAGGCCATGACTTTCAATCCAGAATCCCCCCCTATCAGGGTGGGGGGTATTTTGGGAGAACCAAAAATATAAGTCACCTTCTTAGCAAGCCTGGCATACAGTAGCTTGCGGTCTTCAATGAGCTCCTGACACCAGGGTGACAGCTGTCCTGTTTTTTCCGTCTCGGTTGGGGATTCTTTGTGTGCTTCGGCTTTAAAAAAAAAACAAACAAACTGACGCAGCTTAATCCAGAGTAGATGGAAGATCTTCAGAGCTTCAGGTAGTATACCATCGCCAGAAGCATCAGGGGCAGCTGGAACAGAGAGAGAAGAGGAGGTAAAACCTCAAACCCCTTTCCCCCCCCTAGAAGATCAATTCCAGCTTTCCCCCAGGACATAGAGATAGGCATCTTTTCTCGTCCGGGCTCTGGGATTGATCAATCTTCGCCAGAATCTGCAATTCACATCCATCTGAGATGTTAACAGAGCCGGTCATTAAAAAGCACTGGCCATCCTAAACTTCTATAAAACTGTGAAAACACTGCTGCTGCCCATGGACCACATTTGTTAAATCAATACATGTCCCTTTAGGAAAAAAAGGAGAACAACTCCTGATGTGAATTTGAATTGTTTTTCCCCCCCTCTTCTAGTAACTCATGAATTGGCCTTCTGAAAGATTAATGGTGGCAGTCTTCAAATCTCTAGTCAAATATAAGTACTTATTAAGCAAGAGCAAAATTTTCAAGAGCAATATCACTTTCTCTTCAGTTTCTATAGGCTACAACCGACACTAAGGCCCAGAAGAGGAATGCAGGAGTGATTTTGGCTGTAAAATTTGATTTCCAGGGAGCGATGCACAAACTCTACAATACTGGTTCCTGAAGTGGACATATTTTATTAAATCTGCACGCACCTTATAGCAAGTCTGCAAAAGCACACTGTGCAGACCTACAGTAGTCTTTAACTTGTGCTGAATAATGCCTTCGACAGATTTTACTGAAGGCATCTGGTTAAGAGTTTGAAACCCGCTGCATAAAGGACAAATGTATACAGAAAGGTCATTTCTCAACTTAAAATTACCCAAAGCTGTTAAACCATACAAATCCAGTGTATGAAGCTCGAAATCTCAGGGATTTTCAGGGCACTTCAAGAAGTTTCAAAGAGTTAAAATTTGCACTGGAATTTCAGAAACAAGGAAAGCTGAGAAGTTTGTTGCAGGGATCTCAATCCCGGAGGTCTACAGATTTGATTATTTGACCAGGTGGGAAGGTAATGACCTGAATCCACATTATTTTAACTGAACCGGTTTCACAGCGTCTCCCAGCTCTTCAGATGCTGCTGTGGTTTCTTTCTAGACTGCAGATACACTGGAGCTCCAGGACTAAAATCAGAGACCCCTGGCTTGCAGCTTCAAATTCAACATCCAAGAGCATGTTGTGTTTAAGGTGGGCCGTCATAACCTTATTCAAGACAGCCACAGAACGGCAATTTTATTCTAAATCCCCAGGAAACACTGGCTCATGCAGTTACCCGCTGGACAAGAGAGACCTTGGAGTACTCACCACAAACATCAGGACAGCAAAGCCATACCAACAGATGGCCCAGGCATATTGATTGAAGACGAACTCAATGTGGTCAAAGCAGCCCTGTGGATAGGGAATAATCAGCAATACATGTATTGAACCCTCAACTGCAGCTCAGATACAGACTGCTCACAGCACAGTTTCAACAAAGAACAAAACAGAACAGAATTGCACCCCTTTCAAAACAAGGTCCCATGACCGGGACAGAACATTTGTTTTAGACGTTATCTTACGATTATGAACTCGGTTGGAACGGAAACGAAAAGCTTTTCTCCTGTCCCAAATCTGTTACGTCTCCAAAAAGGTTTCACTGGGCCGCCTGTACTCCTATCTAACGTTTTTCAGGTCCCCGTTAGGTGTGGGCTAACTCTGCCATAAAGATTCAAGACGAATGCCCACGTTGTACCCTGCGACACTGTGAAGCAACACACTGTTTCAGTCTGGGTGGGGAAGATGAACCGACTCCTTCCATTCCTATCTCTTCACTTAGTCCAGAGGTTCCCAATCCTGGTGCTGGCGACTCGCTCACCTGTTGGTTTTGGTTGCAGCTGTGCCCTCAGTTCCACCATCAAACCCTTCATTGATTTCACACTTCAAGATTCATTTGAACTGTTTGATCCCAGCCCTTAAACACATCAAAGCTTTTAACCCTTGTATTTTGTAAGTGGAGGAAAAAAAACTCAAATTTGGGACCAGAAGCAAAATGCAAATATCCCAGTGAAGCGACTTCTTGGATCAGTTCAGGCTTCAATGATCTCATGAAGTTGGGATGGGCTGAACAGCAGCAGGTTTGTGGGTCACCCGCACCAGCATTGGGAGCCACTGACTTAGACCTTCAGCCTCCTTCATTCCAGGACCCTGTCGTGCAAAACAACCAAACGTTGCCCCTACCTTGTAGTTCATGTAGTTCCAGTCCCCGATGCGGCAGGCGTCCAGGTTGAGCACCTCGAAGTTGTCCTTCCTCTTGCAGCAGTTGAGCGGCCAGGGATACTCCTGAGTGGGAAACTTGGACCTGAAGGTGGAGTTGTAGCTGATCCAGTCCAGAGGGCCGTCGGTCCCACAGCAGTTCACCTGACGAGAGACACCAGGAGAAAACCACCGGCATCATCAGAGTAACGATAAACGTCGTCATCTCCAGACAACTGCCACCCTTCCAAAACCAGTCCTGCCACACCAGCAGGAGGAGTGGAACATGTCCCAGCCTGCGAGGGCAAGAACATTTGGTGACTCATGTCAATAGATCTTGGTACAGACGAGCGCACACACCCATGACCACACATTGAAACGAGAAACACCTGCGACTGTTTCTGGGGCAAATGCAAAGCATCACCTTTGTGACAACAAAGCAACAATGCAATCGTAAAAGCGAGTGTTTGTGGTTGCATGTAAAAACGCATTACAAGTATTTTTTAGCCTGTAACCTAATTAAAACTCTAAGGGAATCACATTTACACTTTCAGTTGGGTGGCAGTGAAGAACTGAGAAAACTCACATGCATGTCCTATTTAAACCCAAACCTTCTCACTTGGATGTTTCCAAGATCTTTCAATCATGATTCCAGGTTTAATTGGCAATGCTTTCCCCTGCAGTATAAGCTTGGGATTGGCCTCAATATCATTAACAACATGCCTAGGATTCCCCCCCCAACAGCAGGGCCCAGACAGGGCAAGCGTCACTGCAGTGGGCTGACTTGCTGCCCATCATTGCTCCCAGGAGTTTGTCCTTGTGCAGTACTCCCTCCCTGCAAAGCTAGCCCTGGGATCAAACAGTCGGGCTTGCCAGGAGAATGAAAGAAGATGGGTGGCACATTTCCAAGTACAGCATACATAGATCGGACAAGCATTATTATGCCTTTGTTACAGTACAGTGTCCCCATCTCTATACAGGGGCATTGGGACCTGCACAGTACTTCCAACAGCCACTTACTTCCAACATGACGCGATTCCATGTGGTTGTCACCTGTCTCCCCGGGTCGCTGTCATCCGCATAGTACGTCAGCATCTGTTTCTTTATCAGATTGCTGTTGCCAACCAGCTGGAAGCCAAAACAGGGTTATTGAGTTCTGCTCAATCCTCACAAGAAGAGCTCTGGGCAATAACTCCTTATCCACTCAATCTGCACAGCTCTCCAATTGGCAGCACTTCCAATGGGGATTAAGACCTAACAGGATCATCCCTCACACCAAGGACAACATCCCAACCAAGGAAATCAAATACAGAAGCGTCCGCTGATCTTGCCACAGCTGCACAAAGAAAGAACACAACCACCCCTCTTCACACCACTGACTTGGATCAAAGCCTGCTGTGAAATAAACTCAAGATCCCTAGGAACCCTCAAACCCTGCGGCACAGGAGATACTTACATAGTCCCGGTGGGTGGCAGCTGTGATTGCAGAAGCAGCTTCAAAAATGTAGATGACCAGCATTAAGACCAGGTACTGCAGGCACAGGAAGAGCGAGATAAACAGCAGACCCCCAAGCTGTTTCCGAAAGTTAATCTACTGCCGAGGCCCGCATTCGGGCTTGGTTCTGCTGGGCCCAAGGTCTAAGGGTTTTCAATCCAGAAGTACTTCCAGATAATTAAATCAGTTGGTTAATTAGGCCTTTCAAGCCAGTTTTCTATATCTCTCAGTAGAACCACAAATCTAGACCTTCTAAGAAAGGGTTAATTATGACTAACGAGGTTCTTTGATATCAAGAGATTTATGACAAAGACATGGAAGACCTAGAGAACTGCACCTCAATCGGGAATTATAAGGGCTCAAGCATATCTCTTGCATAGAGAAGGTTACAAAGAGCATTCACAATCTGAAGGCCAAAGTCAACCCAGTGGCCTAGAATCAGAAGTGTTACATGAACCAGAGGACACTGGTGCATTTCACACTAACAGGAGGCATATTTACACACAGAGTGGTGGGAGTATGGAACAAGCCAACCAGTCACGCTGCTGAGGCCGACGTCCAGGTGGACTGAGTGGCCCGCTCTCCGGCACAACCCCCTCATCTACAGAAATGCCCCTTTCCAGAGGGGGTCCAGGCGACCGCAACAGCACAGCCAGGCCTGCCCAGATGTTGGGCCACCCAGGGACTGACCAGCAGCATCATGGCCCGGCTCTCCCGGAGGGCGGCGAACACGCCGTAGACGGCGGCGCAGAAGAAGGCGAAGCCGGTGAAGATGGCGATCCAGGAGCCGGCGAAGATGTCGTCCTTGCCCGACACGGCCGAGAGGGGGTACAGCCTGTACCCGTCCGTGGCCACCCAGATCGCCACGGCGTAGAGGGCCAGGCCACACAACTGTGGGACAGGAGGACAGGGAGAAGGGCGTCAAGCACCGGCCCAATTAAACCGCCTGAAGACCTCTGCTCCGGCACGTTTCAGACAGAGCGCCTTCACGAGCCAGACCTCCAGCTGTCGGGCTGCGGGCGATTTTCAACCAGATACCAGGGATCAACAACGGGAAAGCCATCAGGTCCCATCAGGGAATCACCACCCCAGGCAGAATGAAGACCCATAAACGGTAGAGTCCGATGGGAACCGGACTTGCCCGACCCCGGACTTGGGGCAAGAATAGATCTCGGAACAAGAGGGACGTCGAAAACCCCACACTTCAGTTTCGTCTTCGTTAAAAGAAAAAAATAAAATTGCATCAAGGCTTTGCCAAGCAGCCCTTTATTTCCTAGAAAAAGAGACCACAAAATGTGCCTCACTGTAGCCTTCAGAACAAGAGTTGTCCACACTGGGATTATATATATATGTTTCAAAGGATCAATAACATTTTACAGCCTGGACAGAAGTATTGCTTTTGTCCAGGACAATTATGAGGCCAAGCTTCCTAAACCCTGTCCTCAGGTTTTTCTTCCAAGAAAGGTAAAGGTTAAAGTAAACAACATAATGAGAGCTCCATCATCACTTTCAGCTCTGGAATATTGTGAGGACCATCTGCTCAGATGTCTGACATCTTTTTCTTTACTCGTGTGGCTTTTGTGAATGAAAGTCTGAACTCTCTACGCACAGAGCCGAGAGCCAGGAGTCACTTCCGAATTACAGAGACGGGACAGGCGGCGAGACGGACAGACTTACCGCCAGGAACAGGTTCCCTGCGACCAGCAGAGCCATCATGAGCGTGGATCCTCTCCCCTCTGACATGGCGGCTTGGAGGACAGCGTCTTCGTAGGTCCTGCAGGTGGAACATACAAAATAAAAAATAAAAAAAGACGGCAATGTGTCAGGTGTGAGAAACGGAGAAATCTGCTGACCGCAAGCACTGCCTTATGTTAAGCGGAAAAGAAAAACAAACGGTTTCCCCACAACGTCAAAGCAAATGCGTCCTGCATTTCTGAAAAAAAAAAAACAACAATAACAAGTATTGTACATTTCTGAAGGACAAGATTCCGGATCCTTAAGGTTGTTCAAAACCAGCTTACGGATGTTAACGTGCTGAACGTCGACGTTTCTTTCTGAAATATGTTCTTGGCAATGCATTAGTCAAGAAAGCACACTGCTAACAAAACAGTCGAGACGTAGGTACTGCAGAGGCCTGTTTCGTGTCGTTTAGTGTAACGGGAGATGGGCAACAGAGGAATTGGGACAGGTTTTGCTTCCTAAAGACAGTAAATGCCAAAGAGATCAAATTAATACTGAGGAGGGATATGCGTGGGTCTTGTTTACACAGAAGTGTGCTGTAGACCGCGCTTAAGCTGCTAGACCGGTTCTGTACAGTGATCCCGTAGGATGGCTCGTGGAGAAACGCGATTCGACAAAGCCGACTTGCTGCGGTGCTGTACAATGCACATTTAACGAACAGACGTGGGTCACGGCGCAGTGACCGTTTATAGCTCTTTTTGTGTCAGGATCGATTTATCCCGGGGGCCTGCGAGTGTTGAAGCGCAATCTGTTTTCCTTCCCGTTAGCCAGCGGAGAACGATTTGGAAATGTGACCAGGAAGACTGTACTACGATATTTAAATATATATAGAACAAACAGAGCGCTTCAGATGAGGCGATGGAGTCAAACTGGGAAGTGAATTATCTCGGATTGTTGTGCAGTACCCCCGGCACCAGTTCTCAAATTAACTGGCTTTCCGTTTGACGGCGTTTCGCAGCAGCGAGCGAAGACTGGTTCTGATCGGGCTCACTCCAGACGGAAAGGTCTCAGAACCCCCCTCGGGTCGCCACAGTTCAGGTGCAGAAAAAGGCGTCTTGAAGCAGCTGAAAGCAGCGCAGAGGATATCGGCGTCGCGCTGCAGACCGTGACCTTGAAGGGTTCAATAGCGCTTCAAGATGAAATCCCTAGTATCGGGGCAGCCTGCTAATCAGACCGTATTGATCAGTATAGGATCGGGTTGATTAGACAGAACAACAGGTGGGCGAGAGTAAAACTTTAGACCGCCGGGGGTCACACAAATTTCCAACCGTCCGGCGAGAATTTCAGGTCCTTTATATCCATGAAGACGTTCTGCCAGCTAACAGAAACAGTCATGATGAAAATCAATGCGTTGTCCAACATAAAAGAGCGATACAGGTGCGAACACAAGTCAGAACTCCCCCCCACAATAAAGCATTTTTGTAAAATCTCCACAAGGTCTTAACCAACCCCGATTAACAGTCGGGTCTCCTTTTCTGCCTTGTCCTACAGCAGGATTGCTTTGGCCGGAGTCCCGCACTCCCACCTGTTATATACAAGCCGGGGTCTGACTGCACCCGACACACACTCGAGAAGTTACAGAAGCGAGGGAGAAAAATACCGTTTACTAACGTGTTAGACAACGAATAAATGGCAAGTTTTTAATCGCGAAACCTAAAAACGACAATAACACTACTCTCCAGCCCTCGACAGCTGTTCACAGTACACAGAGCTAAATTTCCATCTGTGAAATAAAATACTGCAATCCTTACACATACCTCCAACAGCTACGCCTAGCTCAAACTAGTTGACAACGTAGCTCCCCAACCACTCACCCTATAACACCGCGACAGTCCCAACCAGCTTCTACCTAATTTCACCTGCTGAAGGTGTAATTAAACCCGAACACCCGTGATGTCACCGGGTCAGATTCAAAACCTTGAACTGGATTCTCAAAGCGGAACGGAATTCCCGAAAACACAAAATCTTGCACCCTCCCTCACCCTTGTTTAATTGGCAATAATTCAATTTAGCATCACGGTTGCAATAGGCAATAAACAACAATTATACTTTATTTAGCAATTGCGCATGGACCTTGTCTATTGATTATTTCATGATAAATGAAACCCTCAGACTTCAATTATTCTATTTGTTACTGACGGTCCCATCGATGTTCATTTCCGAACTAGTGTGTTTGAAGATTAAAATCTGAAATTCTCTGCGAGCAACTTTAAGCCTCTTAAACCGAATGCCTAATAGATACTTTCTGATAGATCGTCTTGTGAAGTTCGACTTGTATTCAATGCAATTCTGTAGAGTGTGATTTATTATGACTAGTGTACAGATCTGTTTCAATCTATTAAACAAACATCCATGATGAACGTATGCAGGAAAATACAATTTACCGCATATCTACCTATAGCTGTATGAATATGGGATAAATATGACTTAATTTCTAACCGATGCCAGTAAGTTATGGTACTATGTTAATGACTCCAAAGGTTTGACAAACATTAAACGCTGCTATTATTTGCAATTTGTTTATTCATAGGTGTAGGACCCCTTTGGGTGGGTTTATGACCTTTATGACACTAAAATGAATGCTAATTTTCTTCAGTGCAAGATTAAAATCAAAGTACGCAATAGATGCCAAATAATGATTGCGATTTCGGGTGTTCTGATCATAAGAAAAGAAAACTTCTGTGGGCTGGTGCATTTCCTTAACAGCCCAGATCATTGTATTTTTTTTATTTTGAATAGCTAGGTGGTTATCACAGTTTCTCTAGGTGTTGTTCTTAAGTATTAATTAAAACTCGGGCTAAGTTAGTTTTTTTGTTGTTCGGTTAACGCCCTGGAACAATAACGTAATTTTAGTTATTTTAAAGTTCACAGTCACTCTTACAAACCTTAAAAACACTCCTCGAATGCTATAAACGCCCTTTTCTTCAACACACCCTCGGTCATCTCCGCACGGAGGCGCGGCTCTGTTACTGTACACCGGTCCACATCACGGCGTTGTTCTCCGACAATCATCTCCGAGCTGGTCTCGCCCTTGAAGTCCACATCATCCACCCAAATCATTCTGATTTCCACTGCGATTCTCTGTAAGGTGATCGTTTTTTCTCCAAGATCACTGAGAAATTGGAACAGTTTATACAGGTGGACTGTCGGCTTTTTTTTTTTTTTTTTTTTACGGATGAAGCGTTTTATACCGCCTGCTTTATTCGCGTTTATTTAAAAAAAAACTTAGGAAAACTCCCGGCATTCAACAGAATAAGAGTGCAACGTCCGGAGTCAATAATGAATAATTATGATATTACATAATGATTTACAGAAATATATTTAAAGCCGTACGCTGTGTGTCTGTTTCAGTGTAAAAAGAAATGACCAGTTAGCTCAGTCATCTGAACCGCCTTTTTATTATTTAATTGTACTTCTTTATTTGTGTTTTAAGTGCTTGGAAATGTGTATGTAATGAAAGAGTACTAAGACAGTCCTGTCTGGTGGCGAAAACATTAACATTGACGAAGTACCGCTGCCGTGTTTGCCTGTTAGAATGACACTGGACCTGTTAGGGTGACGTCACTCCTCCGCACACGCACCTGTTCCCCGGGCGCAGCGGATACTCGGCGGCCGTGGTCGCATCCTGCCGAGAGGCGACCGGCCCTCGTCACACTGCCGCCTGGTGGCACGTCTACGCAGCACACCTGCTTCTCGGAGCTGGTTTCTTTATAAAATGGGTTATTTTTACGTGTTTTCAGGGTTCTGACGTTCCGCATTTTTTCCCAACGTGTTGTGGTCAAATGCGGACGACAGATAAACAAGCCAATTGTAGTACAGTTGAACTGCACTTAAATATTGTCCTTTTACTACTCAGCGATATCCCCCAAGGAGTCAGCAATACAATCTTCATGATTATGAAAATGTATGATTTATACATTGATACATTTTCAGTCCTCTTGCACAGGTATTGGTCATGAAAGGCACTGATAGTGTTCTTGGGTTTTACGGTTCAGGTGCGTTTTAGACAGCAGATGCAGATGCTATCTAGAGCCATGAAAGCTACCCGGAACAACACTAACGATGACTCGAAAGTGCCTTCTTTTTCATATTGTCGTTCTTCAAAACCGACTGTGACCACGTACACACGCTTCCGGGCGGTGTGCGTGTGACTGATCACGTCTTTCTTCCACACTGTAGCGGTGTAAAATCCACAGGACGTGTATTAGTTTTTCCCATCCAAGCGCAACGCGTTTAAACACGGATAATCTGAACGGGGTTACTGGGAGGAAAGCTCAGAACGCATTGAGTTTCCCTGCAAGTCTTGCGAAGTCTTGCCTTTTTAAACCTCACTGATGAGGAGCGATAACTGACCACCAGATCTCCTGAAGTCAGCGCACTGCAGGCTCGGTGTGCGTTTGGCCGATGCGAGTGCCCTCTCATGCGCACGCTGTTGGCCCCGTCCTTTCAGAGCGGGAGAAAAAGCATGGCGATCTCTGTTCACCTATCGAGGATGACCGTGTAAAAACATCGTCTTTAATCATCTCATGGTGTGTTAAACGTGTGCCGTTAATAGACTGCTGCAGCAATGTAACCAGTCCGCCGTCCTGCGTTAGAGCCGGCGATGAAGTCAGTGTGCTGATAGCGACCTCTGCTGGACATGAAGGGACGAGCAGCCACTGGCGCACAAGGTACTTCTGTGTTTGCCCCCTTCAAAATGACTTGAATGAGCTTATTTGTCGTGCCGGGAGCCATTGCTAAGTTTGTCCGTCCTGCTAACGGACACGCAGTCGGTATTTCACCTGAAATATTTGGCGCTACAAAGACTCACATTTCCGGACGAATGGAGTTTCCCATTTGTAACTTTCCTTTCTTGCGCTCTGACTTTATCAGCTGTGCATGGGACTCGAGCAATCAATCAAGGTATTCGATTTAGGCACAGGCTTAAAGCTTTTTGTGTTTTATGCTTTTATACAGAAGGACTGTAAACCAACAGTAGGTATACGTACTGTTAACTCGTCGTAAACGTATTCTGTTCACTGTTTAAAGATCAGGCAGCCTATATAGATTTTTCACATCAGTAAAATATACGTTAGTGAAGTCGTGTCTTTTCTGTTATTTACAAAAATGGTGAAAATAGCATGCGTTTATCTCAGGAATGCTCAACAGCAGGGTGTTATTCTTCCCGTAAATAAAAGACATCACACGTGATCCATCACACCAATTAATTTGCGTCACAGAGGAGTGTGACGATATTTTTTTTGTTAATGAAAATCGAACTTTGCATAGGACAATATTATTGCATATATATTACAATATATTAATATATTGGCGCAATATACTGTACTATATATACATTCTTAAAGCAATGTAATCTTGCTTAAACGCAATATGTTTTCTCCGTGCGCTAATAGGCTACTGCACACCTTTATTTCTTAAATAGCAGAAAGTTCACAAGATGGTGTCACTTAAACTATCTGAAAATCAATCTCTCTTCCCAATCTTATTTAGGACTCACAAACACATGCCTCAGCAGGATGCAACTATCCGTTTTTACTAAGTTTTATTTCTCTGTATATCTCGCGTTCTTCATCCAGTCTACACAGAAACTATCAGGGCATCAATGTGCACATTTTTTCAAAGAAAAAACATATATTCAGACGAGCTCTAAAACACTTGGGATACATTTGTGCAATATGACCTACCACACATAGTAAGGGGAGCAGCTTCTGTGTCTTTCTGTAAGTGTGAACAAACCACACACAATATTCTAAAAAGAGCTACAGTTCCTGGTGTGACTGTCTCCCCCAAGGCATGCAAATGAAAGTGACAAGGATAGCTATCATATCTTTCCCTGGCAGTAGTTTGCATTTTCAATAATCCTTATCTCTTCCACAGTACCTCAGAAACTGCACTTGCAAAGGAAACAGAGTTGTTAATGAGAAGCCTGTACTGAGCCACCTTATTTGAGGGCATTGATGCCCCAGCTTTGGGGAAAAAAAAACCCCAAGCTCCTTTCTTTTCTGTAATCAGTTCAGCTGTCAGCTGCGTTTCCTCTGAAGGGGAGGCTCAACAGTCTTCAGGATCGTTGTGATCCCTAAGTGGAAAAGATTTTCTCATGCCCCAGCAGCACTGGGTGCATCAGAGCATTTAACTTTCAGAGAGGCAAATGTGCTTCAGAAATGACCACCACTGTTTTTTTTTATTATTTTACCAGTCATATCAATTCCGAATAATCCTCATCTGTTGGAGACCTGTTCGTATGGCAGGATATCTCCAGGGGGGTGGCATGGTGATGCAGTTGTCAGCATTGCTGTCTCACATTGCTGGGTCCCTGGGTTCAGTTCCTGGGGTGCTGTCTGTGTGGAGTTTGCATGTTCCCCCGATATGTTCATATGGGTTTCCTCCAGGTGCTCTGGTTTCCTCCCACAGTCCAAAGACATGCTGGTGGGTTAAATGGCTTCTGGGGAAATTGGCCCTGGGCCCTGAGTGAGTGTGTGTCTTTGTCTGCGTGTGATGTCCATCTGCAGCAGGCTGGCGCCCCGTTTAGGGTGCACCCTGTCTTGCGATGAGTAAGAGAGGCAGGAAAGTGGCAGAGCTCCAGCAGGTAAAGATGTACTGGTGCCTGTGTTCTGTGCTGCTTCGGACAGAGAGACAGCTGTGTTGGCTCAATTTATTTCTTTAATCAGATCAGCCCCACTCATGACTCATTAAATAAACAGACTATAAACCCTACGTGTGAACACAGGCAAAACAGAGGGTTTGCAGAAGGCAAATGTTTGGAGTTCAAACAAAAGGCTATTTAATGGATGGAGGTCATTCCTATTTAAGTATGAACAGAAGGCTGATAAATACAGGTAAGAAGCTTAGAGGAAGAATGCTAACATTCCCATTTTGCTCTGTGGAGCTTACGTTGCTGGAAAGTAAGAACAATTCCAAACATGAAGAAAAAGTAGCCATGCGTCTCTCAGAGAGGGCTGTTGGCTGAAAAGCCCACCTGCAGTCTTCTGCTGTGAGAGCTCTGTGGAAGGCAGCCTAACCTCTTCTGAAATGGGACAAGTTAAACACAGTGCAATGTTCATCTCATGCTACAATTCACCTTCCTAAAAGACAAGCATGGTACAATCTGTAAAGCACAGTGAAATGAGGGTAAATGCAGTGTGACATGTTTTAAAGTGCAGTGAAATTAATGGAGAAAGCAAACTGTAATATATGACGTGTAAAACATAGTAAAAGCAGAGTAAAGTGTAGTCTAGTGTGGAACAACACAATCAAAGCAAGGTACAGTGTAGTAGAGTGAAGAGCAAAATCATGGTAAAAGTACAGTAAATACGCGAGACATCATGGCAGTTCAGTGAAGTAGAACAGCACATTGACACTAACGAAAATAAAGTGAACTAAATCATGGTAAAAACATGGAGAGGCAAAGACGATATAACAAGTTTGAAAAGTTTGGCATAAAGACGGTACAACCCTCAGAAAATTGCAAAACCCTACAAGTTTACTGCAATAATCTTTCACTAGTGAAGCTGTGACGAAATATGTTGTCCACAGTGCGCCAAGACAGATTTGGCTGGTAGATTCAGAATGCCTTGTGCAACGCCCCATGAACCTTAATCTATTGGGATCTGCATGACTAGGGATCTGCAGCATGGTCAGCCATTTTCCAGTGATGATCATCGGTGGCTTGTGGTCTTGTTTTCATACTAACACACTGCACTTGTTCTTATCTCTTCCAACCTGCAGCTCTCTGCTGCAGTCAGGATAGACCTGCGACCTGTTGAGGTTTCTGGTACTGCCCCCTTGATAGCACAGCAGCCAACACCCATCTGTTTGGAGCTCCGCTGTGCCAGCACGCAACTCTCACTGTGTGGCTGGCGCAGCCTGCGGAAACAACAGCTCCTGCTTCAGAGCAGCCCGTCCTTTCGCCCTACAGGAGACCCCTCCGGAGCAGGTAAGGAGCAATCAGACCTCCCGTCTCTTCTTCTGCATTATTTAATCGGCACCAGGCAGGGAACAAATGTGGAAAATCTCTCTTCAGCCGCACGAAATGCATAAAATGGATGGCCTTTCCCGAAGTCGTTTTTGCAACATGTTTGATTTCAAAACAACACATAGAAAAGACTGCTTCGAAACAGCAAGAGCTTGTGCACAAAAAAAAACAGGAATAGGAAAAGTGAAAAATGGATTGTAAGACAAAAGAGCATCTGACCTTGTCAGGGCAGGTTCTGTACCAGCAAAACCTAAATTCTTTGCACAAGAACAATTTATAAGGATTATTTAAACCAAAGCACAATCCAAGGGCTACCTTACATTCCAACCAACCTTACAAAATTGTTTTACCTGAAATCACATGCATCAGCAATCTCCATTGTGGCTGGAGGATTAAAATCACTTTAATTCTGACAGAAGATTAATGGTCGTTACAGATCTGAAGTGAATTCCGTCAGTGTCGTGTGTAACAGAAATATGGATGCTGCGTGCGTACGTTTCTGCGTGCAAATAAGCGAGAACAGATACACAGAGGCTTCAGTAAATATTGGTGTTACAGGTGTGCAGATGTTCTGAGTCAAAACAAATATTTATAGTAGCTGGATGACAGCACAATGTGCACAGCCTTTTGCATCCCGGAGTAATAGCATATCCTTTTCTTTGTTCTCTTTGAACTTTTCTCTGAGATCTCTCTGTCTCTGAGCCTTGGTGGAAGGGTTTTCCACAAAGGCAGTTCATCTGTGCTGTTGATCAGAGCCTTAAAAGTGCAATGTGATCCCTCGGTCCAAGGCGCCATCTGTGGTTTGCCAGGAGAGTCCGCTGTGTCGTTATCACACACATTGGAGAGAACTAGAAGGCTGGTTCAAGTAGTTCAAGTAGGGAGCTGCGTCAGCATGCGTGGCTGCAAAGGGACAAGTAAAGGTTTATTCCAGGCTGAGAAGAGAAGAAAGAAAACAGAACTTTTTGGCTGTGGAGCCTTCTTTGGGTGTCTGACACCTGAAGAAGGCTCCACAGCCGAAACGTTGTGTTTCTTTTCTTTTCTTCTCAACCTGGAATAAACCTTTACTTGCTCCTTAGAAGGTTGGTTCTGCTGTCGAGAGACCCACGCAGATCTGGCAACATTTTTGAAGGGTTTCAGCTGAAGGTGTTTAACTTTTCACCAGTTAACTAAGGGCCTTCCTCTTTCCAATGTGCCCTCCAGGCGTGCGATGGCCGGCAAGATACGAGACGAAGACCTGGAAAGGGTGACGGCCGTCTTCAAGTCCGTCAAGCTGGTGGACGGAGAAGCCAAGCTGCAGGCAGTTCTGGACCTGTACGATCGCTTCAAGCTGGACGTCGCAGTGACCGGGGGGTCGCGCGCCAGCAACATGAGGTTGATCAACGTCATCCGGGGGCTGGGGGGCCACGGCGACGGGGCGGGCCCGGCTGGGGAGGCCGAGGGCGCCGCCGAGCCCGCCATGTTCCCCCACCCCGCGCATCCCGACGTGCGGATCTGGAATCTGCCGGGGCTGACCACCCCTTCCTTCAGCTCCCAGGACGGCGCCCAGAAGCTGAACGTCGACTTGCACGACGTCCTCGTCGTGATCACGTCCGAGCGCTGCCAGGACGACAACGCCCTCCTGGCCGCCGAGATCCAGAAAAGGCAGAAGTTTGTCTACTTTGTCCGCCCGGAAAAGGAGGAGGACCTGCTTCCCATCAGCAGGAATCGCGACGTCTGCAAAACCTGCGCTTGGGAGAGAATGAGGGAGCAGCAGATCGCTTCCCTGGGAAGGGAATCCGTCCTGCCGGATTTGGAACTCGACATTGTTGGCTTTGCCGATCTGGAGAAGATCTTGACCAAAGCCTTTCCAGAACTGAAGAAGAAGGCGTTCAGCCTGTTCATGGTAAACGTCACCAGGGAAATTCGGGGCCCCAAGTTCATGACCAAGACGTAAGTGTGGGGATCAGCGATGGCCAGTCTTGGCTCTACTGCAGTGGTCCCCAACTTTTTTTCCCCAACCAAGTTTCGGGTTTTCCCCCGAGCCCGAGGTCTTCATCACAGACTCGTTGGTGTCAGATTTCTGTTTGGGGTGCAGGAAACAAAAATTGTTTCTTTCTGATTTAAAAAAATTTAGATGGGATTTGTGATTAGTATCAGCCAAGGACTGAAATTTCTGAGTTTCAGAACTGCCCTCATTCAGGTGTGAAGCCTTAAATATTAACCCGGTGGACCTCGGCAGGAGGGAAAAAACACCAGTTGTGGGCGTCTCTGGTGTAGTACCACACCCATTGTGGGTGTGTCTTATATTTACCCCACCCACTGTCAGGGGGTGTGTCTTCAATGTCATTTGCACTATGGGTGCATTTGACACCATGTCTGTTCTTGAAGAACGCCTCTGTTCTTAAACAATTGAACGACAATTGTTCTGCAGCATCTTTTTGCACCTTTCTATTTTACATTAGAGACTATGGACCTTGAAATTTCCTCCACGGTCCAAAGAAATGCTCGTAGGTTCACTGGCTTCTGGGGGAAATCGGCCCTGGTGCGAGTGAAGTAGTTTGAGTAGTTCGAGCTGCCAAAAAACACGTCCAGGTTAATTCCCTGCTGAATAGAGAAGAAAATAAAACGTTTCGGCTGCAGGGCCTTCTTCAAGTGTGAGGGAGCGAGGGTGTGAGTATGTGCTTGTCTGGGTGTGTCCTGTGACTGACGGGTATCCCACACAGGGACGCCCCACTCCGTGCTCGTTGCTTGTGCTGTGATTTAGCGACACGAAGGTCATCTCTGTGCTCTCTCCTCGTTAGGAGCGCCTTGCCGGAAGTCGTTAAGATGGAGAAAATGAGCAGCGAGGACCTGGAAACGATCCGGGCCGTGTTTCAGTCCGACGACCTGACCGACGAGGCGTCCAAACTCCACGCCATACTGAGCGCGCTGGATCACTTCCAGCTGGACATCGGGGTGGTCGGGGAAGCAGGATGCGGGGCGTCCACCTTTGTCAATGCCCTCCGGGGGCTGAAGGATGGTGATGAAGGCGCCGCCCCCACTGGGGTAACCGATACCACCACAGAACCTGCGGCGTACCCCCTCCCCACTCACCCCGATGTCAGACTGTGGGATCTCCCTGGAATGGGCCGCCTGACGGACACAGACCCGCCCCCCGCAGACGGTGCCCCCCAGATCGGGCCCCCGCCTTGCGATTTCTACATCATTCTGTCCTCGGAGCGCCTGAGACTCAGCCCCGTCCTCCTCGCCCGCAAGCTGGCCGGCTCGAGAAAGGGCTTCTGCTTCGTGCTCTCCAGGGTGGACCTGGCGAGAGAGCCGCAGCGGGCAGGGGAGCCGGGGGAGGGCGAGGACGCCGCCCTGCTGGCGGTCAGGCAGACCTGCGCCGAAGGACTGCAGCGGGCCAAGCTCTCCGGCAGCTCCGTGTTCCTGGTCTCCGGGTTGCAGGCGGAGAAGTTCGACTTCCCCAGCCTCAGGAAAACTCTGCAGGAGGACATTCCCGAGCTCAGGCGGCGTTCCTTCGTCCTTTATATGGCCGAGCTGGCCAAGCAGATCTGGGAGAAAAACGACCCTTGTGTGCTGATGTGATGTTATAGCCTTCTGAGCTACGGGCTCTACACTATATTTCTGCAGCTTTTCTTCTCTTTTCTTATTTAACACCTCAGAAATAGAAAAAAAATGAAAATTGTAATTTTTGATTGCTATCAGCGAGAGGGATTTAGCTCTTAAATAGACATGAATTGATGTTTTTTTGTTTTACAAAGCAAAGAGAGAGGTGATCTCCAGGTGAATATAATAACAAACTGAATGTGTTCCCTATTTATGGTGGATATTGATTCATGTCCAGTGTCTTTTATGGAGAATTCAAGTTAATGGATTATGTTTATTATCAGAAATAAACATGATGAAGAACATAGACACAAATCAGCTTATTAAAAGATAAATCTAAGCATTAGGTGCTGCATTGTATAAAATTATGTAGTTTTCATAGGGGTGGAAATTTATGTTAAGTGTCAACTTGATGAACTATAAGTTAAATAAAGATACTCCTTTCCATTCATGAAATAATTTTGTGGGTTATTTTGCCAATTTTTATAATCTTATTAAACACTTAACAGAAGGCCCTACAGAATTTACAGATGCATGAGAGTATGTCTTATTTATTTCCTTCTACAGCTATGGGCCAAAATCATTTCAAACTCTTCTTTTCATGAACAGGACTTGACAAGCCAGTAATTGCAAAATTAATACATGCCTGTCTGCCACTGCAGCTGGAAGGAAGGTACAGGAATGAAACTGATAATAAAAGTAATAATTTTCAAGTTTATTCATTTTTGACCTATTAAGTGGGAAAAAGTTATAGCCTCAGGGTGGGCAGTAAATCCCAGTTTAAGTAGATCCTGTTAATCAGAAAACATTTTAAGATGTCATAGCACTAACAATATAAATAAGCATGAACGTGTTTTGGAAGCAAAGTACATCTTAGTCTCTAAATGATTCGACTGCTCATTTATAGAGGCTCTACAAAATAAATAACGCCTAAATTTCAGGTATTTTATTTCATAATGAGCCTTAATGACTGACATGCAGCAGCAGCAACAAAATGGTACATATATATATATAAGAAATAACCAACTCTTATGCCATCCATCTTCGTCACGGCCTCCCTGACCCCAAAGGGCACGGATGACGGTGGTCTTGTCCGTGTTGGCATCTCCGACAACCGCCAGGTCCGGCTTGAATTGGTCAGACATCTTCAGAATGGCTTCCAGCTGGAGCTCGGCGTCCGCTACCCAGACAGACTTGTACGCGTTGGAGATTTCCTGCGAGTCATCTTTGGCGATCTTGGGAGGCACCGGTAATCTATAAAAAGAAAATTCGGGACTTTAGGAACTTGCCTTGTGTTTTGTTTAGCATTGTCGTTTTCTGCCATGTTGCAGAAGTACGTTTAACAAGAGATGCAAGACAGGAAAACTGAAAGTACCAATCAGCGGGTTGGCCCTGTCATCGCGCCCTTTTGAACTGCGTGGTTAAACGTGCGTCGCTGTGTGTTTCTGTCCGTCATCGGGGAGGCAGGAGCGGGGACGTCGTCCTTCATGGACGCGCTGAGGGGGGTGAAGAATGAGAGCCCACGGGCGATAGAGAGACCACAACGACGCCCACCGCCTCCACTCACTCCTCCTACCCGGGCGTTAGATTCTGGGACCTGCCGGGAATAGGGGGTTTGGCTCAATGGACAGAGAGAACCCTCCAAGTGGACAACGTCCTCGTCTCCCTGAAAGACGCGGACAATGTGCATCTCATCGTGGTTTCGGAGCGCCTGAGACTCTGTCACATTCGGCCTGGCCGGCGCCCCCGTGTTTCTCGTGTCCAGCTTCCAGGCGGTGGGGGGCTGGACTTCCCACGCCTTGAGCGGGGCCTGCGGGAGGACAGAAGAAAAAGGTTTGAGTTTGCTGAATATGGCACACGGGGCATTTCTTCCTTTTAAACCACATTTCGAACATCGAATACTTTAGGAAATAGCCTCGACTAGCCGGTAGATGTCAGCAAAGGACCATGTTAGCCACCCCTGATACCCGACAGCTGGCTTTGGCATCATCATAATTTCTTACACTTATATAGCGCATTTCTGGACACTCCACTCAGAGCTCTTCACAGGTCATGGGGATCCCCTCCACCCCCACCAGTGTGTCGCCCCACCTGGATGACGCTCTACTAAGTCTTCAGTGGACTGGAGTTTAGAATGATGCCTCTTCGTTGGAGAGAGACAAGAATTGCGCTTTATACTGGAAGGTACACGGGCGTAATAACCTCACTTGTCTCGAATAACGACTGCTGGTTATTTCTTATTCTTCATTTTTAGGCGTGTTAAGCTCGGCGCACCTGCGTGGAAAATCTGGCACTGGATTGACGAGAAAGAAAAACAATTTAATATATATATAATATATCCCAACGGGGCCTGGGGAATAAAAGTGTATCGAGTTCTGCTTGTATCCCAAATACATTCTTTCAGAAAACCTTTCTTTTTTCCTGTGAAGTCCTACAAAACTCCCGATGTCCCACGTAACCATGCAGGTGCATGTAACAATTTCACCAACGCGTTATTTGTTATTGGCAGTAAGAACACAGGTATATATGATTATGCTCTTAAGTCTATTAATGATTTTAACTTTACAGAGAGAGGAGGAGGTCGCTCCTTTGTGGGAGGGCTTAAAGGCCTACCGTCTCCTCTCATTGGTCAGGTCCTGTAACGCGTTCCGCCTCGTGATTGGAGGAATAAGCCCACACATTCCATGACCGGAAGCGTCGCGCTTGGGACGTGACAGTGTGTCAGTGTCTCAGAAGAGGGGAGTTGTGCGGTTGTTTTAAAATACAGGTAAAGCAAACGCTTACAATTTTTAATTCCTCCATGAGTTAGCGATCACAGGCGAGGCAAGTCGATGCTGAGGTCCAACGTGGTGACAGATCTGTAATTGCAGTGCGAATCTGTTCTTGCAGAACTGCAGGCATGTGTGCTGCAGGTACAGTAGTCAGGTACAGGACTCTGGTAGGTCAGTCAGGTTTACCGAAACCAGTTTATGTCTGCAAGCATTCTGTGTTTTATTATTTTCTCGATCAGTAAGCAAGCTAGGTGGCTAGATAGCACGTCTTGACGTGTTGTTGCACGCGGTCGCGGAGGTGTATTTTGGGAAGGTCTGGAGTTGTTCTGGGACATCAAGTGATTTCGTTTTATTTTTGCTTCATGTAGACAGTAAAGTGTGAAAAGATACTTGCTTGGGACTCTGACGAGATACGTAACCTGGTCAGAAGAACCAGGATCCAGGGCCAGTATGTGTATTTGTTCAGAGGAAGACAATGCCTGGTATTTTATTTAAAGTAAAACATTTGTCCAATAAAGACGGGTGAAATACTTGCAGTTCTGTCAGTTATTAATCGACGAGGTCCGCTTTCAGCTTCTTTCTTCAGATCTGATTCCTAGTCTTGGAGTACGCCAGTCCTCTGCTTTTAGTTATTTTTTAAATTATGTAAGTCATTTATTTATTTATTTCCATTATTCTACACTGTATCATTCCCACCTGGATCTGTACATTACTAATACGTAGGCAGTTAGGGGTTGTTTGAAAATTGTGGGCGAAAGTCTATTTAAAAAGTAGAAGTGAGTTTCATTACTTTAAATTACTCAGCTAGAAACTAGACGTAACTGCGCGACTGTGCAACACTGTTCGTAATTACTGTAATGTCTGACTCTTTAAAGAAAGAATGTCTCGCAACACATTGAATTCGCTCTGTAACATGATATGACTTGGAATGCAACGGATGCGCAAAAAAATAATTTCCAGTCTTCTTAGATGTAATCACGAGGGTGATGGCCCTCTTGTCGAAAGTTATGAAACGCAGGTAACGTGTTCAGTTCGTCATCAGTGGTTTCGCGGCTGAACCGATTACAACCAATCCGTGAAATAGCCGATACTGATTACTGTTGACTATTCGACTGATCGTAATGAAATGTTCTATGATGACTTTAGTTGGTTGCGCCGAGCCTGTCAATAGCTCTGGGAACGCTCTGTATTTCGAGGTATGTACAAGGTATGTGTAAAAGTTTTGTTTAAAAGCAGTATTATACGTACAGAGAGAGCCTGTAAAACACGGCAAATGACTCTCGTAATCGAATAGTAACGTTGTGTAATCAATGATTCCCGCTGTTAGTTTTGGAATGCTGATAAAAGGTCACTGTTTGCCTAGACTAGATTTCAGCCTCTTTGTAAACCGGGTCACTTCGGAGAAGGAACTGGGCAAGAAGAACGGTTTATCTGATGCAATAAAGCCCCAGACAGTTCAAGGTAATTAGCATGCGCTGTAGTTAACTGAAAGTGTGACATAGGCGTCAATAGGGGGCTGCTCAAAGTAAGCAGGATTTCCTGATGCCACAGTGGATCAGCTGGGGCTGCAGAGTTCTCAGGTTTCATGCATGTGGTCTGAAATTCCCCTGATAGCCAGCTTGCTGGGGGGAAGGTGCTAACGACTTGTTTTGAAGATTCCCCTTGTATTTCCAGAGGCTGCAAAACTATAGCACCAGCCCGTGCCATAGTAAAATGGTAATACATTTTTTAATGCATTTAAAAAGTCAACATTGCAATCCTTGACCGCTACCGTATCAAGAAGGAGGTAACGGGAAGTTGTGATCATCCGCCCCCAGACCTGTGGAGTTTGCTCATGTCGGGCTCCAGGCAGAAGGATAGAGATGAACTCAAGCAACTGTGGAGCTGCGTTAAGGACATGCTGGGGTTTCCTTAGACGTCAGTAGTGCTCCTCGTAGAAATGTAGTGTCTGCAGAGCCTATTGCATCAGAGGTGCTTCTCCTTTATTTCACTTTCTCGTACTCGTCAGGCGGCCAGGCGGGGCTGCTCTCCGAGAGTGAAGGCGGCCGTCGCTGGGCGCTGTCTGGCGATAAAAGGCCCGGCGGCTTTTATCACAGCTCATGCGCTTGTCCCACCCCGGTATCTCCTCCCGCCGTCTCTTCCTGCCTTCCGCCGTGGCCTGTGTGGGCTCCTGGTGTCCCGGCCTTCTCCGGCTACTATCTCTCCAGGACACCCGGGCAGAGAGTGGTGTGCACATGGCACCTCCTGGGTCACTGTGCAAGAGCAGCTGTAGCTGATCAAGGGCCCTGGGGAGAGGGGAGAGGGGAGAGGGGAGAGGAGAGAGGGGAGGGTGGATAGAGGAGAGGGGGGAGGGCGGATAGAGGAGAGAGAGAGGAGAGAGAGGAGGAAGGAGAGAAGGGAGTGGATCATGCCATTGCTGAAGTGTGATTCACGTTGGCATCCTCTACAGTTCCCATGCCTTTGTCTCACAGTGCACCTTTTATAGTGGGCTGAGCCAAGCCCAGATTCCACGGAGACACGGACGGTCTTGCCAGGCTCAGGTTCCCCGAACCGCAGCTGACAGCGTCGGCCTTCCAGCTGTGGAGGCAGGAGCCAGTCCCGGGCCAGCAGGAAGCCTGAAGAGTAGTATTGAAAACCCTGAAGAGACGATCTCCGCCTGTTCCCCGGCGCTGGCGGACACAAGAGCCAGAGGGAGGGATTGGGCTGCTGTGCAGAGGGAGCCTCAGCGGTGTCTGTGCTTTGTGTGTCTACACAGGGAGGGCTGGCCAGGACGTCTGAATGCAGAGGGCGGTGGCAGTCATCGGAGGGGGCATGAGTGGGCTCTCCGCTTGCTATCACCTGACCAGAAGCCCCCGAATATCCCAGGTACCGCGCCTTCTGCTCTGTGTGACGCTCGGGTTGGGGTCGGGGGTCAAAGCCAATGCGTCGCACCTGCCTGCAGGCATGGAAACCAGCATGAAATAAGATCCTGTGATAGTCTAGATGGCAGAAAAAGCACCAAAAAAAAAGGCTTTTTTTTTGTTTTTTGTTTGCTTGGTTGCTTTTCCCTTTTTTTCAAGTTGGGTTGGGGGGTTTAAATTTTTTAAAGTTATTATTCCTTTTCTTTTTCTTCGTTCTTTCCTTCCGTTTTAGAGCTCTTTACTGGACACTGCACTCAAAGCTCTTTACAGGTGATGGGGATCCCCTCCACCACCACCAGTGTGCAGCCCCACTTGCAACAGCAGGCAAAGTGTGCCATTCTGCTCCCCAAATACCAGGGGAGCAGAGTGGTGAAGCCAGTCGTTAAAAATCCCAGGGTGTTTCTTGAAAAGAGTCGGGGTGTTACCCCAGTGCACCCCATTGTCCTTTACCAGTCATGGCCTCCTAATAATCCCCCTCTCTGAACTGGCTTCATCACTCGGAGAGCTGGTGTGTGGGGAGCGGACTGGCGCATCATCCAGGTGGGGGGACACACTGGTGGGGGTGGAGGGGATCCCCATGACCTGTAAAGAGCTCTGAGTGGAGTGTCCAGAAAGGCGCTGTGGAAGTATGAGAATTATTCTTATTCTACTTCACCACAAGGCTCCAGCCCAGCCTGCGGTGATCCAGCCCCCGAGGAGGGGAGCTGGATCGGTCTGGGGGGCCGGTGCTCACTGCGGCCTGTCCCCCGTGTGTCCGCAGGTGGCGCTGCTGGAGGCCAGCGGGCGGCTGGGCGGCTGGCTGCGCTCCACGCGGAGGGAGGACGGGGCGATCTTCGAGCACGGGCCCAGGGGCGTGCGTCCAGCCGGGGCGGTGGGCAGGAGCACCCTGGACATGGTACCCTGGCCGGAGGCCTCGAACCCGGGCAATAACCCCACGACTCACTGCAGCCGCCCTCTGGGACATTCCCAGGGGGAACGGCACTCCCGATTTAGATTAAACCTCGGTAACGAAATCAATTCGCTGACGGGATGGCAGCATTTTTTCCAGTTCCGGCTCACGGGTCTCTGCCATGACTAATGTAGTGCGATGTGGTACAGCAGACGTTCCACCATTGAAATCTTCCAGAAAGAAAATACCCCTGACTGGAATTTCACCATCACATAGAGCCACACGCACTGGTGGCACAGGCTTCCTAGTAATTTGGCTGAGGGCCATGTGGGGCCTCTGTAGGATGCAAGAGCATGCTCCTCAGCACGGGGTGTGTTCCACAGGCACAGTACAGGCACTTTGTAATCATCGTCATCATCGTCGTGATCCGCTGGAGAGACGACTCCATCATCCGTCTAGTTCAAAGGATCCAGTTCCGGTGAAGACTTTTGATCGTCTAGCAGAGCTCTCAGAGAGAAATGGCAGATGCCACGTGGGCTTGTGAGCGAGATGCCGCCGAGAGAAAAGCGATTGTCGCGCCAGGGCCGAAGTGATCAAGTGATGGAAGATACTTTCTAAGCTGATCTGAATACAAAGGGCTTCCTCCCTGCTCTACGCTAGGTCTCGGAGCTGGGCCTGGAGGGCGAGGTGCTGCCCGTGCTGGCCAGTCACGAGGCCTCCAAAAACCGCTTCCTGTACGTCGGCGGCCAGCTACACAGGATGCCCTCCGGAGTGGGGTGAGTCTGCTACCCGAGGTAGAGGGGGCTTCGTGATTGAAGTAGTTGTGGGGCAGTTCGTCGACAGAGGAGCAGGATACAGCCCTGTCTGAGCCCAGTGCACACCCCAGCACAGTGGACTTCTGAAGGTCTCTACTCCTTTTTGTGCTGTTCAGCCTCCTGTGTCAGACTGGTCTGTTTCAGGCTGGGGCGGTCTGCGTGCTGTTGTTCCAGATCGATTGCTCCTTCTCTTAATGACCTCGTTGGGGGCCAACCAATCACTGCCGTTTAATCAGTCAGGGGCTGTAACAGACCTTGGAGCAGTTTTCAGGCTGGTGCAGAGCTGCGTAGAGAACACATTCCAATAATTCTTCCACACATTACACAGCATGATGAAGCACTACCGCTACAACCTTGAAAAGGTGCCGAATTTTTTTTTTCCCCCCAATTCAAGGTTGTAACATATGCCTCATAAATTTATGGTCCTTTTCCAGCTGCCAGTTTCCCTGTTTTTTCTGCCTTCAGCCTGATTCTTGATCATTATGTTGCCAAGTGAGTGCACTAGAAGTGGTAGTATAAACTTATCCCAGAATCCCCTCCAGTGATGCAGAGAGAATTCTGGACTAGCTTATATTTCTGCTTCCTGTCCATCCTCATCCATTGACCTGGATGAGACGGCTGGACCGGGGTGCCCTGATCGTGCCCAGTGTAACCATCTCCTCTCCCCTCCCCTGCTGTGGTGTTGCTGCTGCCCCCCGGTGGTGACAGTGGGCTGGTGCGGACGGTGCCACCTTTCTCCCGCCCGCTGGCGGTGAGCGTCCTGAAGGAGCTGCTGACTCGCAGGGGGGACCAGGAGGATGAATCCATCCACGGGTTCGTAGAGCGTCGCCTGGGGAAAGAGGTGAGACTCTGTGGCTCTTCGGGAGGGGGAACGCGCGCTTGTGCACGGGACCGTGGACCGTCGGGTCCGGTCTTGCTCGTTTCATTGAAACCCAGAATCCTAACCTGCTCCTTCTTGAATCACTCTCCCTAATCCTATTCCCAAAGATCAAAGAGTTCCAGACTCCCTCTGCCATTGGTGTGAAGTAGGATCTCTAAAGGGCTGGCACATGCTCCTGATTTCCATCCCGCGGGTCCCGGAGCGATATTTGGATACCTGATGTAAACCGGCATCCATTCATTTTTTTCTGACTGCTTCTTCCAAGTCAGGGTCTCATGAATCAGTTAGTGCACGTGCCTGCATTCGGGACAGAGAACGGGAGGCTGGTGTTTACACAAAGAGGTAGCAGGAGTGTGGAGCAGCTGGTCCTCCCCTGTCGCGAGTGTCCCCCAGAGGAGGCGTCGTGGAGCGGGGCAGCTGGCGAACGCGTGTCTGCGTGTGCAGGGGGCTCAGCCGCGTGCTCTCTCCCCAGCTCGCGGACATCGTGATGGACTGCCTGTGCCGGGGGGTGTTCGCCGGGGACTGCCGCGAGCTGAGCCTGCGCTCCTGCTTCCCGCCGCTCTTCCGCGCCGAGCGGGACTGGGGCTCCGTCGTGCTGGGACTGATCCGCGGGGGAGGTGATGCGCGGCTCCCCGTTCGCCGCCGTCTCGCACGCGGGCCTCCTGGATGATCACGGAGGCGCAGAGGGTCACATGTCGGAATGATACTCCCTCCCAATGATTTAAACTGTCATATGGGGCCACGCCCACACCTGTGTCATGGGGTTCCTAATAATTTGGCCCAGTACCATGTGGGGCCTCTGTCTGACGCGAGAGTAGTCTTATCAGCCCGGCATGCATTTCCAGTTTCGCTGTGGCTACAGTTTTGCAGTCTAGCCCATCGCCCTGCTCGGATTCTGCCCTGGTAGTTAATAATAATTGCTTACACTTCTATAGCGCTTTTCTGGACACTCCACTCAAA